TACTCAATAAAGCCACTCTATGCTGTCGAGGCAATGCTTGTTTACGATTCTTTGAATCATATTTCTATCATAAAAGTGCTACTCCAAGCATCAATGACAAAAATCCACCCAAGCAAGACCATTATCCTAATCAGGGTGTTTAGAACACAATAAGGAACAGGAACTACAAGTGGTCAGAAACAAAAATCATCCTCTTCTCTTAGCTCTTTACCCAAAAGCGCTCCAATGCACCCAAAGGATCTAAATTAGACGCAATTAGATGTAACATCTACTAAGAGACCAAGACATACAAATGTGGATGTTAAATTTTGTAACAACTAACAATGTCAAGTGTCTACGGAAATGGATTTTTATTAATCATCAAAATCCTCTTTTATTTGAGTAATTCTTGCTCAACTTGCAAAAATGCAACATCAAGCATTGAGCAACCACAAGTTCGCAACTCTATTTAAAATTTAAAATGAACAACCATCTTCAAACTACACCGAGTAATCAAGTTGTTTTAAACTAGCAAATTAAGTCATACTTCTGTGATTAAGAAATATTTCCCTGAATTCGAATGAAATTCCCTGAGATTCCCTGATTTTCCAGGTCCAAAAATGAATTCCCTGATTTTCCAGGTTTTTTCAGGTAGTCGACACCCTGTTAGAGCAAGCTTGAGAAACTCGGAGTGTCTGCATCTTTCATCTCGTAGTTCAAACCTTACCTAACGAACCGTTCGCTTAGAATGGACCTTCTCGTTCTGAAGTGTTCACGAACGTTTCCGGCGTTCCCCAAGGAAGTAATCTGGGACCCCTTCTGTTTTCGCTTTTCGTCAATGAGCTTTCGTGTCTACTGCCACCTGGATGCCGGCTTTTCTACGCTGACGATGTCAAAATGTATGTGGTTATCAATTGCATCGCTGATTGTGAGGAGTTGTAGCTGATTGTGGATCGTATGCAGAGTTGGTGCTCAGCATCAAAAAGTGCAATGTGATATCATTTCACCGCAAACAAAACCTGATAATATTTGATTATTCCATTTCCGGGCAAACATTAGAGAGGATTAGCCAGGTCAAAGATTTGGGAGTAATACTTAGGAATATTTTAGGTGGGCAACAAGGCGAACTAATGGGGTGTTTATATCTGTGCGAATTTGCTAGCGCTAGTGTACTAGTCAACTAGCACGAATTTCAATTGCTCCTGAAATCTCATGCTGGTAGACTCTGTTTACATTATGCTGGTGAGCTTTTTTGCTAGCAGCTGACTCATTAGCGCTAGTGAAATAGCATAAGTGTAAACACCCCATAAGAGGTGGACGCCTGAGCTTTTCCACATTTATATCGCTGTGAAGCAACTGTGAACTCTAGAGGGAATTTATATCTGTAACTGTAATCAGTTCGATTTTGTTTACTAAATCTGGTTAAGTTGTCAGATTTAATTATCTTAAAGATAAATCGTCCAGCTCAAACCTTTGTAGGGGTAAGAGGTGGGACCATCATAATCATCATTGCTGCATCACTATTGAGAAATGATGAAGTATTCGATGTTTTTACAGTTGTCATTCTTGCATTTATCGCAAGGATCCGACTCTAATTGAAAGGTCCCGCTCTTTATACCCTTCGGAGTGTTGAAACACCCTCCAAAGGCGCGCCCCTTTGTCAGTCAAAATTGGATTCCTTAGCAACAAAATTAAACAATGACACCGGTAATGACCATGCATCAGAACCCTAGTCTTAATCACTTCAAACTAGGGAACAACGAATAGAAGATAGGAATCACATAGAAGAAGACTAACTTTTTTTTTCTTGTTTCAAGATCATCCTCGGTGGACAAAGCCGAGTCTTGTCACTATCAACAAGACATAAAAAGTAACAAGGAATAAGATGTGTTCCTTTGATTACTGAAAAATCCTGTTCCCTAGATTGAAGCAGTTCGGACTAGGAATCGGTGGTAGATCTTACATCCCGTAACGTACCACGAAAAGGTGATCTACCCACGATACGGGGCTACAGTTACTTATTGTTACAGTGAGGGGAGGGAGGGTGGATTTCAAAATGCGAATTTCTGCGTAACGTATGTTGTGTATCGCGCCATAATAAATCGTTCAACGCATTACAGTCAGAGGCTTCAAGTATCGACTCATCATTTTGCTCCACGCTTTTCCTGTTACAATGCAGTCATCCGCATATTGTCAGTTCTAGATAGAGCTGGAATTAGGGCCTAACAGCTTTTGTAAACAATGACTTCCCGATGATTTCTAGGAATTCAAGGCGCGCCAACGCAAACCAACAAAACCATCGGTTAGGGGAAGACTTCCCCTACCTGATAGTGATAATGATTTGCTTGGGCGAGCCTTGAGTGTCAAAAAGCTGTTACGCCCTAATTCCAGCTCTATCTAGAATTGTCATCTTGCTCTATATAAAACTTCATAATTCAAACTGAACAATGCATTAGATTCCAAAGGGTGGTCACTAGAGTGATGCAAAATTAAACTATTCCAAATCGGATCCTGACTAACCTCTCAAAATTTGAACCCATTTGGTGAGAAACTGAGATGGCACAAACCATTTGAAGTTTGTATGGGAATTACTATGGTAAAACCAAGATTTTTGCTCATGTCTATCTAATAATTCACCATATCGGTCTGCTTCAAAAGCTTTCAACTGTACTTGTAGGAATTTTTCCCAGCTACAACTTTACTCAAGACCACTTTTTGATTAAGTGCAAGGATCGAAAGTTATCAATGGTTCAATGCGCTGATGTCTTATGATCATGCTCAATCAACTGCTCAGCAGGCAACATTGGTGTTTCTGGGGTGTTGAATCTGTTGAATAGGACACACAAATCATGGCTACTATGTCACACTGCAAAATACAGTGTTGCCTACAGACACAGAGAACAGACGTTCAAGCTCGGTCAGAAACTTGTGTAAAATAAGTGGGAACGTCGCCGTTACGTGGTGTTAGCATCTCCTGATTTTCTCTATAAATTTTCCACTTTCGACCAACTTGGCGCTAGTATCGATAAATTTTCTGTTGAAAATTGCCACTTGGCGCTACTAGCACTTAGTGTCTAGTGTAATTTGTGCAACGCCAGCGCCATCATGTTGTCAAAGAGGGTTTTTAAGTGGGGAAGTCGCCGTTAGTGGCGCTTAAGTCAAATAGGAATCTTTACACAAGTTTTTAGAGAAATTTTGTTCGAGCCTCCATGTCTGTTCTCTGTGCTACAGAGCAGCTGCTTGATCGTGTCATAAGTTTACCAATCTCTTAAATAATTAATAACTTTTTCCTGTCTCGTTTTACATAGAAACGATCTTCAGCAAAGTTGTAGCACAGAGAACAGACATGGAGGCTGGAACAAAATTTCTCTAAAAACTTGTGTAAGGATTCCTATTTGACTTCTGCGCCATTAACGGCGACTTCCCCACTTAAAAATCCTCTTTGACAACATGATGGCGCTGGCGTTGGACAAATTACACTAGACACTAAGTGCTAGTAGCGCCAAGTGGCAATTTTCAACAGAAAATTTATCGATACTAGCGCCAAATTGGTCGAAAGTGGAAAATTTAGAGAGAAAATCAGGAGATGCTAACACCACGGGACTTTCCACGTCGCCGCACAGCCTTTCGATATTCGATGATGTCGATGGTGAAACTTTCAAGGAAAATTTATAAAAACAACATTTACTGCTATATAATTAATATATTTTGGATTAATTTTTAATGATTTTTTTTCGACGACTGAGGTTAAAATTTTTAGTGGCGGAGTAGCAGTGATTCTTTTTTAATCAATCCTGAACGCAGGTTGAGCGTTAAATGCTTCTATGTGATTCGGCTGATTAGTTCTGTTGGTGTGCCGGATAGCGTATCTATGCTCTACAGCAGGCAATGTTAGTTAATGTTTTGCTTAAAAATCCGTGAAACATTAGGAAGTCAATACAGAAGTGCATAAACTTCCCCATTCCGTCGCAGTTTCTGTACTCCTGCGTTGGCTTTCAAAGATTCATATTATATCCACCCGGTCGTCTGACCGAGACCAAGTTTCTGACCGAAGTTGGACGTCTGTTCTCTGTGGTAAGGGTGAGTTGGAGGCTCCGGCGAAATTATTTGTGTCAACAATCAAATTTTGACACATCCTCACTGCGCATGCGCAGAAATAATGCAGTGATGCCAGTTACTACAGACATCACAAAAATATGTACCATGAGTGCCAAATGAGTGAGCCATGGTGTGTCCTACTGTGTTTTTGGCACACTGTGGTGAGTGGCCTACCCCTTGATTAGATCCGAAGTAACGTCGACTTCCTATTTGCACCGTCACGGCCACGTTAAGACATTCCCAGCTATTTTCAGCCACAGATCGATGGAAAAAGCTATTATCTAGCATCTTATACGACAGGAAACGGTTCTGTACTCAAAATTAACAAAAGAGAAAGTCGATGAAGAGAATCGAGCAATGTTACTTAGGACCCAATGAAGTGATGGATCTTACATCGAACCGCACCACCGACGGGATGCCAGCAGCTGTCAGCGGAAGTGGTGGCTGTCATCGGGAAAAAACAACGCCTCGCAGTTTAATTTTCAATAGCAATATCTTTTTTATTTAACGGGTTTTTCTGTTTCAACTAGAGACTTTCTTGTTAATTAATATAAAAAAGCGAACTTTACTCCTTAGGCAGCTACCGTTTTTTTTCATCTTCTTCTTCGTTCGTGTTTCTCCCGCTCATCAAAACCGGGCGAGGGTTGTTTTCTGATATATTTTTTTTTCTCTTTCTTCTATTTTGTCTGTTTGATTTTCAAGAAGAAGAGTGTATGTATGTGTGTGTTTTAGAAAGAATGGAATTACTTCGTATGTGTAATTGTGTGTGAGTGTGTTTGTGTATTTGTGTGTTGGTGTTGCGTTGTTATCTTTTGTTTTTCTTGTCATTATTCGAAACATTAAGAAAAGGAAATTTTTAAGATGCGGAAACTTAATGACGACAAATAATAATAAAGAAAAATAGGCGTTAATTATTTTAATAATAATAATAATAATTAAAAACAATAAATTTTCGTAACATATATAAACGTATTTAAATGCTCATCGGTTCAATTGTTATGTTGATTCCTTTTCCTTCCCATTCTTGAAAGCATAAAACATACTGATTTTCGATTTCCTTTTTTGTAAAAATGTGTCCCTCTGATCGCTTGCCGTTATTATCTTGCTGTTTGCTATTTTATAATTTTCCGCCAAATATGATTGATTTGTTTGCTTTTTTTAACTTGTAAGTTACACGGATACATTTTCGGGTACAATGCTAGTCTATGAAATGGTAATTTTTATGGAGTTTTCTAACGGTCGATTTATGTGTGTAGATTTTTATCATTATTTGCTTGCGTGTTTTGATTTAGGAAAATGTTCTGGTTACTTATTCGCTAAATACGTTTTCTTCATTACCTCCTCTCTCCAACTGCGGGCACTCGATCATCCCCGCTGCTATTTCGTTATTCTTCCTCCTAAATACATGCAAAAAGGAAGACCAGGAAGGCGAGCTACCCCGGTTGAGGGATCAAACATCGCATTTCCCTGACCAACCTCAATAAGATTTATACCGAATATTTAATACAACAAAGAATGAATTTCCTTTTCCACGTCTAGCATCGCTCGTCTCTCGCACATACTCTCGATAAGGGTTTTGCTTTTTTTTGCATTTTTATTTTCAAGTAAAAAAGACACGCGCTCTCATTCGCTCAATCTCGGTTCTGCTGCTGCTGGTTGCTGATAAACTCATGCTTTAATGGTTCTGCCGTTTTCCCCGTTTCCGGTCTCTCTTTCTTTCTAATAGTAGTTGGAAAGATATTTGGAAGACGTGCTCGTCAGTCGTCAGTTGCTGTTGTCCTCGCCATCGAGAGACTCATCCTGGACCAGCGAGTCGTTTTCGCGCTTCGGGGTCGTAAGCCGGGACGAACTCACGCCGAGGCCGCCGCGTCTGGAATTTGGATAATGCGATGCAAGGGAGAGAATGTTAGGTATTTTTTCAAGTCTCCGTCCAAGAATATTTCGATCCAAAAACGCACACACTGTTAACGTTGGCTGGTAACTAGAGGGGGTTGTTGGTTATTGGTGTTTTGTTTGGGTTGATCGATTCTAGGTCTCTAAAGGGATTCAACCCAATCTGTAGACACTATCTTTTTTTGGCGTTTGAATAGCTCCTGTTGGTATATCCGTGTTGGGAATGTTATCTCTATGGTTATAGTCACTTCATTTCTTTGAGATTACATGTAAGACAGCTGTTATGATGGTTTTAAACACAAATGCTTTTTTTTGTGAAAAACAGAATGACACAAACGAGATTCATGCCCCAAACACACTCCCCACTATTTTGAAAAACAGGCTACATTCGGATGAGAACAGCCATGTGAAAGAAAGGGAACAAGAAAAAAGGATTTAGAATATGTCGTAGCATTTTAGGGGCTCTACACATACCACATGGATAGTTTAGAATCGTTCTAATGAAGGGGAAGCACAATTAATGCATAGCAAATTCAAAGTGAAAGAGAATGAACTCCTCGTGTTCAAAGAAGTAAATATGTACGGTCAATTATCCCTAACCGGGTATCGATGGATTTTATCCTAGATTTGCGGAGGTAAGAATTTGGGAGATGATTCGGAGTTGAAGGAATATGATTACAACCAGGCGCAAACAGAAACGAGATATGCTTCAATCCCCCATCTTTGAAGAGTCCCAGGGCTGCAAGAAGTTTGCTTAACAGAATGGAAGGTATGAACAAGCGGACATAGAATGGCTACTTTCTACCAGAGCTGGGGCACGATCAACGAGCAGGGGGGACCGTCTTTATAGTGCTTGGTGAAATGCACCAACGCGCGATTAGATGGTATCCTATCTATGTGAGGAAGAGCCGTTTCTTCAACTACAACATCACCAACGAGCATTGCCCACACAAAGTGAGACCCAACCTCAGTGGGAAATTAACGAAGAGGAGGCCGAGCGGCTGGTGCTGGCAAAAACAAAACTAGTTTGAAGAATTTCACAGGAGAAAACACACGGTAAATCACCACCCAGGAAACATCAGAAGACCTCATCGGCCCCCGGTAAAATTGTTTGAAAGACTTTCGGCACCGGAAAGCTTTTTTTTTATAAGTGGGCCGAACTGGGTACAGTCCTAGCACAAAACAAAAAGATTCACCGTAAAGTTTAAACAAGTTAGACAGCCTACAAACGGGAAAAGCTAGTTCGCTTGGAAGCGGTACAACTACAGGAAACACATGCAGCGAGATATTAGTTCGTAGTAAAGACAACCGTTTAGTATCTAGGTATATAAATCACACATGTGGGGACTCGTGCAGCAGTGTATCTGGTAGAATTTGGGTTATTGGATTGCAGAGCAGGAGAACAGGGTTGCGAATGCACACTCGATCATTTGAGGGATTCCGAATTACCTGTCCGTTGGCTAATAAAGAATCTCTAACAGTAAGAACTAAAGTAGGTATCCCTATCACACTAAACAGGATCAACACAGATACAGCTTACATAGTTGTAGAATTCGCGCAACAATTGCTCCGTTTGTTTGCTTTGTTTCACTTAAAATCATTTATACACGAGGTGGCGATGTTGAGCAAGTTGTGCGTAATCTCACTTTGCACTGAATGTAGAATTGCAGAAAAAAAATTAGATCCTTTCGTCTTTGAGAAATTGAGGAAAACAAAATAAGATGTACGAAGTGCTTAAAAAGACTTACCTCAGCTTCGTTTTGAGTGAGTTGACCTCCCGTGTGAGCGCTTCATGACTCTCCAGCATATCCTCGTACTCTCGCTGGGCCTTGCGCTTCTGAGTCTTCTCCTTCTGGATTTCCTCCTCCGCTTCGTCGAGATTTCGCTTCAGGATCTTCATGCGGTTGTTCATCTATAAAGAAGAAAGAAGCGATTTTTTTTTAAATTTTGATCATTGTCTGCAAAGATAAAACTGCAAATTACCTTCTCGATCTGCTCCTTGTACTGGTCGGCGTGTCGTCGCTCGTCTTCGATATTCATCGTCAGTTCCTTGATCTTCTTCTCAAGCTTGCGGTTCGACTTCTGACCGGTGAGTCGTTCCTTGGTTTCGTTCTCCAACTGCTCCTCGAGGTTGGCAATCTTGGCCTCCATACTGGCCATGGCAGCTTTCACCTTGGTGCGTTGGGCGGTTTCCAGCTCGGACAGTTTGGCCTTCAGTTCCTTGTTTTGCCGTTCCAGACCGGTCTTGACGTTTTCGTACTTTTGCGAGTTTGATTTCTCGGCCTGCAGTTCGGTGGTGAGCTGTTCGATGGTGAGTTGTGCCTTGCGGTTGCGATCGACCAACAATTCGGCGTTGGATTGTTCCTCTTCCAGTTCTTCCTCGAGGGTGGCGATTCGTGCCTCTAACCGTCGCTTCTCGTCGATCATCAAGGAGCCCTTGTTCGAGTTGGAGTTGATTTCTTCCAGCAGTTCGTCCCGTTCAGCTTCGGCTGCCCTTCTTGCTCGTTCCGAACTGGAGAAGTCCTCGGACAGTTGCATGACTTCCGCTTCCAAAGCTTTCACCTTGCGCTCGGCTTCCTTACTAACGGCCGCTAATTCCTCCTTAGCAGCCTTAGCTTCTTCGGCGTCCCGGATGGCATCCTTGACCTGAGCTTGTAGCTTCTTGGCCTGCTTGAGAGCGTCTTCCTTGATCTTATTGTTCATCTCCAGGGTGGCTTCAATGTCCTTTAAGTCACCTTCGAGTTTCTTCTTGGCAGCCACGGCAGCGGCTCGCTGTTTACGTTCCTCGTCCAGCTCGGCTTCCAGATCGCGAAGTGCCTTCACCAGACCACGACGTTTCTCTTCCGATTGTTCTTCCTTGGCCTGGATGTCCCGCTCGAATTGTGCTCGTAGGGCTTGCATGTTGACTTCCAGTCGCAGTTTGGCATCCTCGGTAAGCTGCAGGTCATCTTCTAGTTCTTCGTTCTGTGCCTTCAGCTCGGCCAGTTGACTTTCAAGCGCTCGCTTGGCCTTCTCCAGTTCATGCACGTTCTTGTCAGCTGTTCCCTGCAATAGATACAAATATTGTCAGTATATATTATCTTTGAATGAAGCCTACCAGCCACGAACCTGTGTATTAGCCAACTCATCTAGCTCGTTCTGCAGTGCCTTCCGTTTGGTTTCCAGATCGTCGATCTTCTCGTACGCTTCATCCAGTTCTCTCGTCAACGACAACACCTTGGTCTCCTTCTCGCGAGCTTCCCGTTCAGCGGCGTCTCGCTCCTGGGCATGCTGCTCGCTGACGGCCTTCTCTTCGGCAAGGACCTTGTCGAAGTTCTTCTGTCTCTTTTCCAGGTCCAGAACCTTGGTGCGTTGGGTCTCCAGCTCGATGGTGGCATCCTCCAGCTCCGATTGAATCTTCTTCTTGCTCTTGTCCAACCGATCGTTGGCTGCCTGCAGTTCCTGAATCTGCCGTTGCAGCGTTTCGATGTCCTTGTTCATCTTCTTCTTGGACTCCTCGAGCTCCTTGGCAAGGTCGGCTATTTTTTGCAAAACGCATTTCAGATTTTCCCTACAGATACACATACGAGAAAATACTTACAATCTTCCTCCGATCGCTTCTTCATGTCCTGAATGGTGAAGTTCAGTTCGGCCAACTTCTTCTCATAGTTCTTCTTTGCTTCCTCATCCTCCTCGAGCTGCTCCTGGAGGGCTTCCTTTTCGCTTTCAATCTGCCGTAACTTCGAGCTCAGTGCCAACTTCTGGCGAGTTTCCTCCTCCAGCAGTTGCTGCGCTTCCGTCAACTGACTCTCCATGTTGCTGGCACTCTTAATCGCTGCCGAGGCCTTGAGTTCGGCCTCGTCCAGCTGCTGGGTAATGTTCTCCGTCTCTTGCTGCAGCTTGGTCACCTTGTCCTGCAGTTCCACCCGCGTGCGCTCCACTTCTGCCAGTTTAACCTTGTAAAAGAAGAGACACATTAGTCGCACTAGCAAACGACTGCTCGCCATGAACAGATCCATATGAACTAGAAACCGTACGTGCAAATACTCAACTTGGTCCTTTGAAAACAACAAATCAAGATGTAAGAAAACAAAAGATTCGTTTGTTTGCATGCGAGAAAAATCGAAGCGGAACTTATAAGATATCGTACAAACGAAAGTAGTAACCGAAGAGATTATCATAATCAACTTAGTTCTAGCACACGGGCATACCTGCAACTCGGCAATTAGCGTCTCGGCTTGCTTCCGGCGACGGTCATTCTCCTGTCGGGATTGGTTCACGTTCCTCAACTCGGTAGCCAGATCGGCGTTCTCGGCTTCCAGCGTTTGCTTGGCCTTCTCCAGTCCACCCTTGATCTTCTTGATACTCTCCAGCTGCTCGTTGATGGAGGAAATCTCCTGAGCGTGCTTATGGCGCATATCGGATACTTGACTCTCGTGGTTGCCTGATTCGTCTTCTAGGGTCTTCTTCAGAGTGGCCACTTCCTGTTCGCGCTTGGAGCGCAGTTCTTGCTGAGCTGTGGAAGTCATTATAGAACAACAGCGATTATATGTATTCTGCTAAAACAAACATTGCGACAACTTACCTGCAGTGGTATCCAGCGAGTCCAGCAGCTCGTTCTTCAGCGCCTCCAGCTCTTCGTTCAAGTCACGCTTCTGCTTCTCGGCCTTCGAACGAGCCAGCTTCTCCGCTTCCAAATCCTCTTGGATTTCCGCCAGCTGCGACTCCAGCTCGCGCTGGGCCTTCTGGGCACTTGCCTTCGCAGCCGATTCTTCGTCGATCCTCACCAGCGTCTGGGCCAGTTCTTCCTCGCGCTTGATCAACTGCTGTTGCATTTCCTCAATCTGCACGCGACGCTCGTTGATTTGTTCCTTGAGGTCAGCCACTTCGGTCTCAATCTTCCGCTTGGAACGATCCGCTTCCTGACGTTGCTGATGATCTTTGAGCAAACGTTCCTCCAATTCGGCGATTGTCGATTCATGCTTCGCTTTCAGCTTGGCCAAATGTTTGGCTTTCTCTTCCTCTTCGGCGAGAGTCTGAGACAAATCGTTGGCACGTTCCTCCAGAATCTTCTTCTCCTTCGAAAGTTTATGGTTTTGATCTTCCGTTAAGGCTACATCTTCCTCCATCTTTTTTAGCTTGCCATCCAACTGCACCTTCTCCAGCTGCAACTTCTGCCGGGCAGCTTCTTCCTCCTCCAACTGCTCTTCTAGATCCTGGATGTTGATCTGAAGCTTCTTCTTCTCACTCGATAAGGCATTGACACGTTCCTCTTCCTCTTCAATACGAGCTTCCAAATCTTGCATCAGCTCTTCCAATTCCTGCTTGCGAGCAGCTAACCTAGCGCGACCTTCTTCCGCTTCAGCGCACAATTCAATCTCCGCTTGCAGTTGTTCCGCTAGATGCGTCTTTTCTTCTATCGCTGTCTGGAACTTCTTTTCATATTCCTGTGAACTCCTGGACAAGTTATCCAGCTTGTCTCGAATCTGCCTTAGCTCGTCTTCCTTCTGGACCAGCTTTTCCTCCTGCTTGGTAACTTCCAGCAGTGGTTTCACCTTGGTGTACAATCTCCACCACTGCCAGTTGCGTAGCTTTAGGTAAGCCGCACAGTTTCGCTGAATAATCCGGATGGCATTCAGCTGCTGCAGTCGCTTCTGATAGTTGCGACGAGCTAGGAAACCTCTGCAGTACGCCTGGAAGTTGACAATCAAGTCCGTGATCTTGTAATCACGTTCCTCTTCAAGATGCGCCAACACTCCCGCTCGGAAGAAAATCTTCGACTGACCGATCCTGTACAAATTGTTGTCCAGCTCGAGGGCCTTGATCATCTGCTCGCATGCCCTCTTACCGTCCATGAAACCTTTCGGGATGACGTTCGGAGTGAGTAGTTCGTATCGCTGTCGGAACTCCTGGAACGGAATACGATTCGGGAAACCTTGGCGGCAAATACGGATACCCTCGAGGACACCATTGCAGCGCAGCTGATCCAGAACCAGCGGAGCATCGATCTTGCCAGCACGCTTCTCGTGATTCGGAATGATACAACGGACAAAGTTCGGGTTGGTGTTGCGAAGGGTGTCCATTAGCTTGGCCAGCTGTTCCTTGTACAAATGGGAAACCGTCCGGAACATACCCTTGCGAGTGCGGGCTCCGAATTGGGTGTCCGTGAGAGCCTGCTGGGCCATTCCAACGATTTCGGCATCCTTCCAGATCTGGCAAACGAACGGATCCTGTGAACCTTGCAGAAGCGAAACGATGTTCTCGTTCAGTGGATCCATGTTCTTCATCAACCACTTGGTAGCTGAATAATCGACCTTTCCGGCGTAATGCACGACGGCAAAATCGGCCACTCCTCGGAAGTCGGTCTTCATAAACTTAGGATGCATGGTATGGGCGGTGGCCAGTTTCTCCACGAACGTCTTATCCGTTGCCTTGGGGAACCAGCATTCTTCGTCCAGCAGGGCCATGATGCCACCAGGTTTGTCGATCAAATCGATCGTTGGCTGAAGATCCAGTCCGAAATCGATAAACTTCCACTCGATTCCTTCCCGTTGATATTCTTCCTGTTCCAGAATGAACATCGTGTGGTTGAACAGCTGCTGCAGTTTCTCGTTCGTGTAGTTGATGCACAACTGCTCGAACGAGTTCAGATCGAAGATTTCGAAACCGGCCATATCGAGAATACCGATAAACGAAGCGCCCTGACGTTTCGTTCGATCCAGGGATCGGTTGATGCGATTCACCAGCCACTTGAACATCTTCTCGTAGCATGCCTTCGCTATGGCTTCCACCGCGAATTCGACCTGTTCCTTGGTTTGTGCCTTGGTGACAAAGTCCCTGCCCACCTTGATCCGGGGCGTCAGGAAGGCCTTGGTCATATCCGTCACGCTCAGCCCCAGCAGGTGGGCGATCTTTTGTGCGACCGTATTGTCCGGCAGGGTGGCCTGATCGGAACTGCGCTCCTGCTTGAACTTCATCGAACCGAACAGCAGCACTGCGCTGACGATGCGGAAGATTGAGTTGAAGTCATCCTCGGTCATGCCCATGATGTTCATGCTCTTGACTGTGGCCTGGTACTCTATGTGGTCGTCGACACCGGGCACCGGAAGGCTCCCATTCGACAGGAACGGGTAGGTTTTGATGTCATCCAGGATGAACTTTTCGCGCTGCTCGGGCGACGCCCCGGCCAGCAGCTGGTAGAAAATGTGGAATGTACGTTCATCTTTCGCTTGGCGAATGGCACGGGACTTTTCGAGCAGGTAGGTCTCGATATTGGCACCGGAGATGTACCCCGAGGCGTCGAAGTTTATCCGGATGAATTTACCCTGGTGGGGAGGATGGAGGGAGAGTTGTTGATTTGTGTTGGTTGTTGCTTGTAGAAGGTAGATCGTGGGAGGATACTTACGAATCGGGACGAGTTGTCGTTCTTCACGGTTTTGGCATTACCGAAGGCTTCCAGAATGGGGTTGGCTTGCAGGAGTTGCTGTTCCAGTTCTCCCTGCACAATCGGAGGAAAGAAACGATGTAGTAAACTGGCAATTAACAATTTTGTTTGTTTGGGATTTTTTTAGGTTATGAGAAAAATGGAAATTGGCATTTCGGTTAGTGCATTACTGGTGTGTTATTGAAATCAGAATTAATTTGAACATGCTTAAATTTAGTTCATAAGAGCTGTCATGTCATTTGATGCAAACGTTTTGCTGCAGTGTGGTCGAATCTGTCGTGTGCGATTCTAAAAGTTATTTGGATTATTTTTTGGTTATGGTTATGGTCAATCGAATGCTTGCATAAAAATTATCTGTATGTTGGTTGTTCCTAAAAAAAAAACTCGACTAGTTTTAAATGGCGGAAAATATGCTCAAAACAACGTTTTTGTGTGGGAAATCTGTTTTGATTGAAAACGGGAATAATGGTGGAAATGTTTTTGACTTTTATTATTACATTGATTTTGTATCGAAATACTGCTGATTGGGTTATTTTCAAAAATATTAAGTTAAAACTAAAAACAATATTTTTTATAAAAATTGTAGCTCAGGAACGAAAAAACATACATCGCTGAGTTTCTGACATGTTGTGTCAAAAAGTCCAAATTATCATGAAAAAATATAACATGTAATAGTGCCGAGACCATGAAAATCGATTACAATCAGTGTTTTACAAGTGTTTCACAATTAATATTATTACTTTAGTCTAGATTTAAAAATCTTTCATTTGACCTTTTGATCAAAGCAATCGGTCCAGTAGTTCAGTGGTTAAGTCACAAACGTAAACAATGGATTCTTCCGCAAATTTCTCGTAATTCACTCTCCCCCTACACAATCATCGTGGTGGTTTACTCAGGCAAGTTAGCGTACTGGAGAAATTTGGCAAAATTTGCGACTTAGGCCTTTATGAAAGCTTAATAGAACTATATTTTCATATATCTTCGTCTCAGACGACATTTAGATAAGAAGGGACGGTTCCATGCCTTGATTTATTGGATAATATCAAATACGCCATTTTGCAAAATAATGCTGACCATTGCCGATGGCCTAAGTCCAGACCAAATTTGATTGATTGCCCATAGCGAACAACAGCGCAAAGTTTCATGGAAATCGAAGAAATCCTAGTCTGACATTTGTTTTTATGATGCTATTTAGTCTGGTAACGCTAATTTACGGGAACCTCCAAGATGTTTAACTATGGATAGTTTATGACAAAATTTACTCACTAGATGGCGCTAAAACGAAAATTATCAAGTTGCGCCTTCTAAATACACATTATATAACGATATCTACAGATCTTGCTTATATGGATGGTTCTCGTCTTATGCCTTGTTCAGACTACAGAGTTATAACATGTGATAGCGCTGTCTTGATGGTGGTTTCTATGTTGCAATTATTTGACAAGCGTTATAACTCTGTAGTCTAAACGTACTATTTAGGGAAGATGTTCAGATGAACAAGATCTGTCTTGAGTTAGAGTTTAATTCAGAAGTCACTCACCAGGCAGCGCTAGTGTGACATTCATTTAGAATTGTTTGCCCTAACTTAACATCTTGACTAGATAGAAGATTTCCATCTTCAGTAAAGTTGTTCAGAAGGTCAAGATCAATCCTAAGATACAGAGTTTAGTTCAGAACTCACTCACCAGGCAGCGCTAGTGTGACATTCATTTAGAATTATTTGCCCTAACTTAACTTCTTGGCTAGATAGAACCCTAATAAAATGTGTATGGTTATTTTGCTTAACGACGAGTTCAGCGCATGATCCAAACCATTTGTGGATTAGTTTTCTATTATTTGGGATATCGTTCGGGTATAGTATTTTTTTTATTAGGGAAGTTTCCCGCCTTCGAAAAAGTTGTTAAGATGAACAAGACCTATTTTATGGTAAAGAGTTCAGCTCAGCATTCACTCACCAGGCGGTGCCAGTGTGACATTAATTTTTCATTGTCTGCCTTAGCCTAACATATGGTAAAGAGCTTAATACAGAATTCACTCACCATGTGGCGCTAGCTTGACATTAATTTTGAATAACGTGCCCTAACCTGACATATGAACTAGCTAGAAGGCTCCCGGCTTGGGTAAAGTTGTTCAAATGGTTAAGACCTATCCTAAGGACCTAAGGTAAAGAATTTAGTTCAGAATTCACACATCAGGCATCGCTAGTGTGGCATTCATGTTTAATTGTTTGACCAAACTTAACATCTTGACTTGATAGAAGGTTCCCGAATTTATGGTAGAGTTTAGTTCAGAATTCACTCACAAGGCTGTGTTAGTGTAACATACATAGTTAATTGCTTACCCTAGCTTAATATATGTACAGTCAAATTTCGCTCCTTGGGCTATGCTTAAGTGGGCTACGTTTTAGTTGAGCTCCCGTTAGTTGGGCTGCAGTCAACCTAAATCGAAGTCAAACGTCATTTCTGACAGTGCTGATTCATTTTCGAGGGACTCATGTTCGAACAATTGGATAGTTGCTAAAGTATTGTGATGATAATAAACAATCGGTGTATCCCTCAATCAATTTTCAGCTTGACAGCTCAGCCCTACTAACGAAAGTCTTTCACTAAGCGGGTTACGGGTTTAGCCCAACGAGCGAAAGTTGACTGTACTAGATAGATACCGTCTTGGATAAAATTGTTCAGATGAACAAGACCTATCCTAAGGTAATGAGTTTAGTTCAGAATTCACACATCAGATGGCGCTAGTGTGACATTAATTTTGAATTGTTGGCTCTTACTTAACATCTTGACTAGATAAAAGGTTCCTGTCTTTGGCAAAGCTTTTCAGATGAACAAGAACTATTTTATGGTAAAGAGTTTAGCTTAAAATTAATTCACCAGGCGGCGCTAGTATGACATTCAATTTGCATTGTTTGCTCTAACTTAACATATAGACTAGATAGAAGGATTCCGTCTTCTATAATGTTGTTCAGATGGACAAGACCTATCTTATAGTAAAAAGTATAGTTCATAATTCACTCACCAGGTAGTGCTAGTATGGCACACTAGCACCACCTGATGTGTGGATTATTAACTTAACTCATTACTTTAGGATAGGTCTTGTCCATTTGAACAACTTTATCGAAGACGGTAACCTTCTATCTAGTAAATATGTTAGGTTAGGGCAAACAATACATTATGAACACAAGTGCTGTCTTGTGAGTGATCCTGAACTAAATTCCTTATCATAAAATAGGTCTTGTTTATCTGAAAAACTTTGCCCAACACGGGAACATTCTATCTAGTCAAGATGTTAAGTTAGGGCACTCAATTCAAAATCAATGTCACACTAGAGTTGCCTGGTGAGTGAATTCTGAACTAAACTCTTTACCTCAGCATAGGCTTTGTTCATCTGATCAACTTCGCTGAAGACGGGAAACATTTATATGAGCAGGATCTGTATAATGTGTATATAAGCGCCATCTAGTGACTATATTATGTCGTAAACTATCCAACTGTTACTATCACTGAGCCAAAAACGAGTCAACCGCAGAATCAGTTTGTTCGTATTGAACTGGGTTTGCACTAGAAAGAGAACGTTTTCTCACATTCTTTCCATTTCTCGTCTGTTTCGTGCTACTACACTGTTAGTTCTCAATCTACGTGCTGTAACACTTGCTTGGTGGCATATTTTTTTAAATATTTTGTTACTTTGGTGCTCGCCTGAGTGAACGACTTTTTGCGAAGACAACATATCAACAAGACTAGCAGGAAACTCTTCCGTTTTATCATAAGACCGCTATGGGACAGGCTCCCGCATTTATCTATACGTTGCTTCCATCTTTGTTCAAGCGTAGCGCTACTGAATCTGTCATTTGGATTTTGGCAAAGTTGCCAGTCTTCTTGATATGATGTCTTTACTTTTTACCATGCTTGGCCACATCTAACACTTTCTGCTCGAAATTGTTTTAATATTCTCAACCTTTCAAAATCAATTGTTTAAGGGGATGTTAGATGTCTCGAAAACCTTTCTTAGTTAATCAAGAAATCCACACTATATTTTTTTTCAAGTGTAGCGTCTGTCAGTCTGTGAACAACTTGCAGCATTTCGGGGTACTTGTCGAAAGAATGTGTGCCATAAATAGAGTGAAGTTTAACACTTCGAACACGATGCCTCCGGTAAAATGTGTAACGGAAAATTGAATTTTTTTGAAAAATCATTGTTCAGCAATTTAACGATAGATTTCTAATCCATTTACAGCAAAGTCTGTAGTTTCAAACGGCGCCGAAAGATTTAAAAATCGTCAATAAATGACTGAGCTACGATTTTTTAAACATTGCAAGATTGCCGTTACACATTTTACCGGAGGCATCGTGTTCCGAGTGTTAATCAAATGAAAAAAAAAATCATAATATTTCGTTCTATTCCTACATAAGCCAATATTTAGTAATACATAACCAAATCCATTCGTTTAGTAACAGCAGGTACATCGAAATGACCGTTGTTTGAAAGTGAGGTTAGTTTGAAAACGCAAAATCAGAGTTCAAATAAAAAAAAAATTACACTACTTTCCAACCAAACTCTAACTACAAAACCGAAAACAACAGGAACAGAATTCGGAAAACCAAACTGATCTTATACATTACCGATAGGCTTGATGAGTGACCACCCTGCCGTTTCGTTTATTTATTTTGTTTCAATGCGATTCGGTTTTTTGTTTGTTTGTTTGTTTGTGCGTTTGTATGTATGTGTTTATGTTTTCGTTTTTCGATTGTTTCCGAAGGGTAGCAGCACGTTTTGCGTTTTTTATTTTGTTGCGTTGCGAAGAAGCGTTATGTTGTAGCGATAGCGCATTGTGTTTGGTTTCGGCCAGGCAGCGCGCGGTATGTATTAGGAAGACAGAGGCGATTCGCACACGAATATTCAATGATGATTCAATACACGATACACGATCGCGTACGATTACATGTTTGATGGAACAATGGTATGCGTAAATGTGTTTGTGTGTGTGTGTGTTTTTTTTTTGATTTAGAGTGCCAAAAACGAGAAGAGATGGAGATGGAAATACAATAGCATAATTAGTGACGGATGGTTTATTTTCATCAATATTTTCGATCGTGAGAAATAAGAGAAAGTCATACTTACAATAATAAGTGCTGGTGACGGCTGCTCATCGCGCATGAGGATAATCACAATAGAGGTGGCATTGGTAGTGGTAGTAGATTCGAAAGGTATTGGTATTGGTAGTCGTATTCATCAGGCCCATTCACCAGCCACAAAACAAGAGCAAGGTGATGCGTACGGTATCAGAGGATGTTTTTTTGTATGTGAAGGAGGGTTGGTGTATTTGCAGGTTTTATCAAAACAAAGTTTCAACGAGAGTAGCAAACAATAGATACATAGTTTGCGTTTGTGTATGAGTGTATGTGTGTCGATTTTGTTTTGTATTGTGCAGGAAGGATTTTGATGGTGGTGGCAATCGTGCGGTAGCAGCGTGGTTCGGGATTTATATATGAAATTAAAAAGAAGAAAAACATAGGGAAAACGAAACCCAAATATAAACGACTAGAATAAAAAAGGAATGTATCTACAGAAAATGATAAAGAAATTTTAATTTTAAAGTAACTTAGTAGCAATAACCGGAAAAGTTTGAACATGGAACATTTATTCATCGACTAGCACCTAGCTAAACCTAGCTAAACGGAATACATTATGTATTGAGGATAATTTTATTTTATACACTAATTTACAGTATCAGCTAGTTTCAAGGTTATCCTTGAAGAAGGATCAATGTAATGCGCAGACATTATTCTAGACCTGTTTGTACAAACTTTCAATAATTCGAGTGCTAACCTAGCCAGAACGACGAAATAGAGTATCAAACTACAGCAACAAAATGCTTCCCAAGCACGGACTTCAATGTGAAGTATCACAGAACATATTTTCAAATATCGTAGTAATGGGCAAATTTATCAGAAATTGTTGAAAAACATGGTGAATGAAAAATAGGTTTTCAAATGACCAATCTTTTTTATTATTTTTATTTTTATAGGCCATTTAAAATAAAATTTGATTATTTTGAACGTAATAAAAGCAATTCATTTTATTTTGCGGTATGACCGAAAAAAAATTGACAGATTATTTTTAGTCTACTTCGATGCAACATATCGGTAAAATGACGCGGTATTACTTAACACTAAACAAATATTTAAACAAACTATACATGACCCATGACGTTTCGGACGATGGCGAAAGTGCTGAATATCACCGACTTCTGGATAACCAGTAATTCCTTCTCCATCGTCAGCGTTTTCCATCAACGTTTTCATCACAATGCCGGTTGCTGAGAGAACGACAGGGGCCTCCAACAAGCCCTACAATTACTTCAACTCCACGCCGTAAACTATAACGATTGGGTGGTTACGGTACTGTTCCAGTGCAGCTTGAAACGGTCATTTTTTAGGACAGGTATGGGAAGGGTCTCGCTTAGCTCAGTCGGTAAAGGCGCAGCTGCAAAGCAAGGCCATGCTGGAAGTTTGTGGGTTCGGTTCCTAGTCCGGTTTAACAATTTTTCTGGTTAGAAAATTTCTCAACCTCCCTGGGCATAGAAAACGATTGTACTTATACACATTTATAATGATGCAAAAATGGTACGGGCATCTAGAACACTAAGTTGAGAGCACGCCATAAGCTAATATGCGATAATCAATAAGCTTGAAACGCGAAGAAAAAAAAAAAAGGGGGAGAAAATTTGGCAAACTTTCCTCCATAAGACAAATTTTGGCGAATCCGTTCTGGCGCTCGATGTAGGCTGCATTAGCAAGTGCTGGCCAGCTTGCGATAATAGTCAAGGTGATTGATGACACATCCACCAAATGTCCTAAACATTTTGGAGCCAAACATCCCGCCGAAAATTTGCTTTCGGCTTAATCCTATCCTATCCTGGATGTTTATCTATCACTATCCATCAATCGGCTTCATTCACTGGTGAGTGCTCACCGAATATTTCAAAAATTTAACTTTGCTCACTATAAGAGTCACTCAAGTTAATCGGTTTTTTGACACACGATTATGTCTTTCGACAATATATTGGGAGTGCAATTAAAAAAAAATCAAATTCGACCGCGGTTTCTAAACAAGCCAATCGAATTGAAATTTTTCTACGAATCTGCTTAAATGAACACTTTATGAATTTTCAATAGGTCACTATTGACAATTACACAAATGTCCAACTGTTGCAATGGTGATCAAAATTATCACCGATTGCCTGCAAAAAGCGCTTTCCCTAACACAGATTTCAAAATTGAATTCCATCCGGTCCCGCCAAACGATGCTTATTCAATCTTCGTGTGTGGTGGGGTACGATCAGTCGTCATCATCATCATTGAAAATTGTTCACCAGTACACAACGAAAGTGAGCGTCCATTCACCGAAGAAGGAGGAAGAACCCGCACCGCTACTGATCGGATTCAGTAGCTCTTCGTGAGTCGCTGTGGACCATCTATGCCTAGCACGTCACCCTCGTTCCATACAACATACAGCTCGTCAGCCTCATCTAGATTGAATACCCCAATAGCTCAGCATTACTCAGCCATCACGACAAAAACGGTCCTTTTCAGGACCATCATAAATTTGTTAACCCTTAAATGCATAGTGTTGCCATTTGGCAACATACCTATGTTTGTCTTTAAACATGGTGAAACTGCATTTTAATAGTAAGCGCAATATAGGGGGAATTGGCTCTAATGTTGGTGTATGGATCTAAGATTGGGCCCATCGCTAAAAATCTGCTATTTATCAATTTTACCTAGTTGAACGCGTCATTGAGACGGTACTAATGGATATTTTTGGTCGCTATTGAAAATTTAGTCGATTGCTGAATTTATGTATGGACCCAAATTAGGGGTATTTATGTTGACCTTCAGCGAATCCAAACACATAAAGCAACCAACGATACAGACAAAATGGTTGCTACGACTACCATGACAAACTCGCTCTATAACGTAGCTCGATCCGAGTGGTAAAGGGATAATGATATATTGCTTGCCTGCTTTGTTGCAATATACACGGATGAGGACATAGCTTGATATGAATCGAGAAAAGACATAACAAAAAAATTCCCATTAACACACGTGTATCATCTTCGGCTCTACTTCGTGAAGCAGTTTTCCAACAATTTGCTCGTTTCCTTCTACCGCCCCGAGTGAGTTGTGTCGCACGGGCTGCTTGTCATGAAAAAGAACGAAGAAGATTATATCATCATTGCTTTGCACTTCTGACATATCGTTATCATTCGGTTCGTTGATCGCTTGTCATTTTGTCATTTGGAGATATTTTTGATTCCTTGTTGACCTTACATCCATTTCCCCTACATCACCGCAAAATAAAAAAAAGTATAAGAGTATTTTCTGGATATCTGTCAACATCATCAATCGGATGTTAGTTCCCATAAGTTTAAATCTAACATACTATGTATTTTTCTTGCAACATTGGGGGTGCAATTTCAAAAGATAAAGTCGGTCGCGGCAAAAGGTCACTCTTGATCATCGCGAATGAAAAAATTTTAGCAAGAAATTCCTCCAATCAATTTTTTCTTTTTTTATTATGTATTGAATGTCCTAAAAATTCCGTGCGTTTTGTGCACAAAAATGCGTAATTTTGTCATCATAAAACGAGGCGCTTCTGTGATGGGAAAAAGTGGTTTCCCTAACACAGTCGCCGAATATTGATACCGAGCACGTTATCTTACGTCAAATGTACGGTCGTGTCTTGGATACAACCTCTTGCTTTTTTTTATCGACGAAAGGAGATAAAAGCTATTCAAACAAATCGAGAAATTTGTACATGAGAAAAGTGGTGTGAGTATGAATTCCCATCTAGTTATGGAAACAAATGAAAATATCGATTATTAAAAAGCGATTAATCCGAAACATCACCAGTCTAAGCAAATCGAATCCAGATCGCCGACTCACAAATGGCTTGCCAAACCATAGCCTTTATATCGAATGTTTCGGTAAAAATCGACTTATCCGCGTCATCAACACTTCCGCCATCACGAACGGTGTAGTACTGAACTGATCACCAGGAATAGTTTCAGAGGCGTCGCGTGCTTCATTTGTTTACCTGTGCACCAAACTTTGTTCGTTATTCCTCATCACCACATATTAGTTTTTGTATATTTTTCAATGATCCATGAATTCGAGGGACATATTCCCAATTACTATATTAATCACTACCTAACGTAACATTTGAAGGGCCTATCATCTTGTGTAAAACAAAACTTGTATGGCCCTTTTCACGCTAACCGATGTAGGAGGAATTGCAAAACTTAACTAATTCTCGTTTTTATCAAAAGGCTAACTCTTTCGACTGAAGTGTAATAAAGAATATCCGTCAAACACTTCCTAAAGCATTTTAGATACAAAACAGCGTCAAAATCTAGAGAAAATTCATGACGTCGCCTGGGTAGCAAACTTGAATTAATCAACTCGTTATTCATCAGAACAACACTGTCAGAATGAACCAGGGGAAGCTTATAAGTTTTGACAGACGCACCGGCGCAACTATCGGTAATTGAGAGATTCACAACTGACAAGAGAGTAAGAGCGGGCTTTTGCGCTCTTTTTTTTCCATTACTCTCTTTGTCTGCAATCAGATATCCAAGTGCACATCGAGAAATGCACGCTTTAGGCACCCATAGATCACAAATGTTGTTCTAATTTATACTCACACATTCAAACCAGTCTGCAAGTATGATACACGTCCAAAGCGTACCAGACTGCTGTTTCCGTGTTCCTCCCGTTTGACGCGTGACTGCTGAAAGTTTCAATTACAACTAGTGGTGCAATCCGCCATGTATTGTGGAAAATTTATTGTATGCTTCAAGAGGTGATAGAAGGTCTGCTTGACTTACATCAGGCATTTGACCATTCACAACCTTGCCACCCGCCACATAAAAAAGCTCGTTTTTAGGTGCACTATTTAACGAGTTTTGTCATGATCACTACCATGACAAAACTCGTTAAATAGTGCACCTAAAAACGAGCTTTCGACATGTTTATAAATCAATGCATTAGGGATTAGGCAGACCATCCGAACTGAATTTAATCCTTTTTGAAGCAAACCAAGGTCGAAGATTTAATTGAGCCACACTATAAAATAGTGTA